AGTTTTAAACTGCACTGCTTCTCTTCATAAACTGCACTTAACTGCATTTTCTACCTTATTTGTGAAAATAAGTATAGATTATGTTATATTTTATAGTTTATCACTAAACAACAGGGTGGTCCGAACTGTATTCCGGAAACTTCGGCAGCATATTCTGCAGATAAAAATAAGTAAAAAAGTTCGTATAAATGTATGCCCTAAAATGATTAGTTTCGGAGATACAGGGTGTAGAAGTTTCATTTTTATTTCGATTTTTCCATATAATTTCTGAAGTAACGTCAATATTTGCATGAAAATTGGTGTCTGAGAGTTCTTTGACTTGAGAAATTTGATTTTGATGTCAGTATGACTCCTACTTGTAGATGGCGCCACCTACATTTTTTTAACTGGTTTGAAGAGTAATAACTTTTCGTCCGTACCTGTATAAAACTACTGCGTAAAAATGTACATTTGCAACGTTTTTTACGTAAAAAAGTCTCTTGGTAAAATCGCTACAAGTAATGGTTCTCGAGATATTTGGAACCCAAATTAACAATACCTGTCATCATTGACATAAATTAAACATGTTGACTAAATTAGTTATTAGATTGAAATCATAAATCTGAAATATTTTGTACCAAAAGTTCAACAGAAACTGTTTTATAATCATTTTTTCGAAGAAAGAAAAATTTATGATTAATTTAAAAAAATAAAAAGTTCCCGAATTTATCATTATCATCTACTCAACTTGTTTATTTTTTGTCAATAATGACATGTATTGACTGTTTCTATTCTAAATATCTTGAGAACAGTTATCAAGAGACATTTTTTACGAAGAAAATTACAGAAGTGTATATTTTTTCACTCAGTAGTTTTATACAGGTGCGGACGAAAAGTTATTACTCTTTAAAACAGTTAAAACACATGTAGGAGGCGCCTGCTACCAATAGGAGTCATATTGACATCACAATCAAATTTCTCATGTCAAAAAATCCCAGACACCAATTTTCATCCAAATATTAACGTTACTGTTATACAAAGATGGTATCTTGATGCATAGAAGACGTGTATCAAGTTTCATAAAGATATCTGAAATAAAATGAGTTATTATCTTTGAATAAGAAGACTAAGGAAGGAGCATAATGCTATTCATGTATTCATGCATGGTGGGCGGAAAAGCCACCATAAAAGCTCTCTAGGGTGGGGATTCTTGACATGTCTGTTTGACGTTCTGTTCATTTGACACATTTGAATTTGATTTGAAATTTTGTGGATTTGTTAGTTTTTACGGAGCTTATTTTATGTTATTTATTATTTATTCTACTACTGATAGTTGTATAAAGGTAGTAAATGTAGATGGAAATTGTGGCAGAACTTAAATTTACAGTGACACTATCGCGATTTATCGAAAAAGACTCTAAAATAGTTTGTTGTGTAGCGTGCGGTAGAACTCGGCAAAAATTGAGTGAAATAATGGAACAACTTTTCGCTAGTAAGTGACTATATAATATACATACGTGTAGTAAACCGATCATTTATGAAATTCACTTAAATTAGCTAAATTATATATTTTTCTTGCATTTTAGCTTTTATTTATTACTTGTCAAAGATTAGATGTCAAAGAATTTAGATACGTTAATTTGACTTACCTGCTTCAGTAGCGTATCGGATATTTGTGTTAATAAATACTTATTATAACTTATCTATTTTTATTAGAATTATATATTTTTATAACAATTTTAATAACTACCAACATTTATTCACAACGTAAAATAAAACAACAAATTATTGAGTCTACCCCACGTCTACCCTACATCATAGTTTTACTTTTTTAAAATAAAATTAGAACGACACTGATAAACCGGAATTTAAGTCGGCCATATTTGAGGCCTATCGCGGTGTACCTAAGATTTTTGATATGCTCCTTCCTTAGTCTTCTTATTCAAAGGTTATTATAGTTCAGTCATTGGGGATCAAAAAAGGAGCCTGCTTGGAAAAAAGTCCGGAAGTGTTGAAACTTTGCAGGTTTATAGGTTTTGGGGTCCCTAACTAAAATCCATAAAATGCACATTTCCAGACTTGCCGCCGGCGGGCGCCGCCATCTTGCCAAGATGGCGCCCAAAATCGGTATTTTGTGAATATCTCGAAAAACTATGCGTTTTTCGCAAAAATTTGAGGAGAGCACAATTAAAGAGAATAAAATTTCCTATAAAAAGGTTATATGAAAATTTTCACTAAAGTCAACCGTTTACGCACAAAATCCATGAAAATTTTACAATTTTGCGTGAAGTATGATATACATAAATATAGTCGATTTTCCGAAATCAAATGTCGATTAGTGTTCACTAAAACTAGTTTTAGTTTAGTTTCTTCAATTTTGTCATGAAACAGTGGCGTATCATTAATGCGCTCATTAATTTATGAGTAATTAATTGTCGTGCTGGACAGCATTCATTGCGAACTTACCACCAGGAATGGGGTTGGAAGAAAACAAAAACAGGCATTACTCCAGTCACAACGTTGAAAGATCCAGCTCCAACTACCCTATTGGCATTTTTATCCTGTAAATGCAAAACCAACAACTGTGGTAAAGCCTGCGGATGCAGAAAAGCAGGATTAAAATGTTCAATGATTTATACTGCAATGGGAAATCCTGAGACAACGTCACTGAAGTGTCACTCGACGAATCCGATGAAGATGAGTTGGACTTGCCTGTAGATATCTCTCTGGCGGCTGAAGATGAAGAGTTGGACGTATTAAGAGACTACCCTGATGAGCCCAGCACAGCATCGACTTTGACATCAATGAGCCAGATCCGTCGGGCTTGTGCAGATAAGTTAAAATTTTTATTTTACCTAGTGGAGTAGGCCTCCGGGGAGACCACGTTTAAATAAACGCGCCATGTACTTACGCTAAAAGGACACAATAATTAAAATTAATTATTCATAAATTAATGATACGCCACTGTTTTATGACAAAATTGAAGAAACTAAACTAAAACTAGTTTTAGTGAACCCTAATCGATATTTGATTTGGGAAAATCGACTATACATAATATATCATATTTTACGCAAAATTGTAAAATTTCAGGGATTTTGTGCCTAAACGGTTGACTTTAGCAAAAAATTTCCATAAAACCTTTTTATAGGAAATTTTATTCTCTTTAATTGCTCAATTTTTCGCGAAAAACGCATAGTTTTCGAGATATTCACAAAATATCGATTTTGGGCGCCATCTTGGCAAGATGGCGGCGCCGGCGGCAAGTCTGGAAATTTGCATTTTATGGATTTTAGTTAGGGACCCCAAAACCTATAAACCTGCAAAGTTGCAAAACTTCCGGACTTTTTTCCAAGCAAAAATCCCCAATACCTGGACTATTATGAAAAAAAAAAAAATAGAAAAATTTACCACCCTGTATCTAAGAAATTAAGATGTTTAGGGCTTACATTCATATGAAGTTTTTCTCTTAGAATAGGTTCAATAATCACATCCTTAAATAATAGCATGTCTTTAAGGAACACCCTGTATTCAGGGTGTCCCACTTAAGATGGATAAAAGCCAATATCTTTGTTGAGCGATCTTTTTCATTTTTGGCAGGAGGCTGTATGGTTATAAGACGTACATTTTGCCCAGGATAAGAAATGCGATACCTCATAGACGTACGTTTTAATGGTGTTTGATATTTTTCGAGTGAAGAGTAAACTACCCTTAGAACAGTATTTATTTCAAATCTGATAAATTATATTGAATCCTCCTTACCTAAGATACTTAAGTTCCAATTTTGATAAATATTGATTCAGGGTGTGTCATTAAAATAAGATTTTTATTATTATTATTAATTTTTAAGTACTTTCGACGCCACTGGATAAATAACTGGTTTATTATCAAAAAACAATTATAGCCAATTATCAATTAATAATCGTTTTTTATGGTGGTTTGGTCGAATATGTGACTTTTAGTTCGTTATAGTTTTATAAATCTTTGTTTAGAGCATATTTTTCAAAGTTAATAGTGATTGTTTTAAATATCTAACTATTTGGATTTTTTAAAATATTCTTCAATAAAACGAATAAAAATCATATTTCAGATCCCATTGAAAACTGGGTTTTTAAATTATTTTGTAACTCATTTTATTCATTTGTATTAGCAAACTTAAAAAACAATTTTTTAAAGTAAACAAAATAAATTGAAAATATTTAGTTTTTTGTATCGTATCTTAATTATTATGGAAGCTATCTGAAAACTTAAATCGATTATTAATTGATAATGGTTATAATTGGTTATTGATAATAAACCTGTTGTTTATTCAGTGGCGTCTTAAGTACTTAAAGAAATAATAATAAAAATAAAAATGTCTTATTTTAATGACGCATCCTGTATCAATATTTATCAATTAGAACTTAAGTATCATTTATCAGATTTGAAATAAATACTGTCCTAAGGGTAGTTTACTCTTCACTCGAAAAATATCAACCTCATTAAAACGTACGTCTATGAGGTATCGCATTTCTCACACTGGGCAAAATGTACGTGCTATATCCATACAGTCTCCTGCCAAAAATGAAAAAGATCGCTCAACAAACAACCAATATATTGGTTTGTATTCATCTTAAGTGGGACACCCTGTATGTAGTATCTCTATTATACAGGGTGTCCCAGAAATAAGAGCAAGTATTTTAACCCCAGAAACACACCTGAGTTTTTTTGCGAAATTTTTTTTTTAATTTTTAGTTAAAAAACATAATTTCTTGATAATATGGCAACATAGGTATTAGATTAAATTTATCAGAAAGAAAATCCAGAAAAGATCCAATGGTTCTCAAAATTTTAGCAAAAAATATTTTTTTTTTGGAAGTAAAATAACTCCGTTATTTTGGGCTTATTTGAAAAACGATAAGGAAAAAAATATGTTTTTTTTTATCAAGATCTACCACCCCTTAAAATACTTGTACTTATTTCTGGGACACCCTGTATAGTTTTAATAAATGAATAAAATTAATTAATTAATATTTTATTTCCAGGTGAAATTGTTTGCTCTTTTTGAGCATGCTGCTGGCTATGGAATATTCAAAGTTCAGGAGTTCGAAGAAATTGGAATTATTTCACCTCAACTTGAAGCTTCAATTAATAACTTTCCCCAATTTAACAGCATTGTACAGCTTGTCAGTTTTTCGCCTTTTAAAACTGCAGTTGCAGCTTTGGACAATATTAATGCAATATCCGAGGGCGTTTTACCAGAAGATTTACAGAACTTTTTAGATATAACTGTTCCAAAAAAGAAATCAGTTACTTTGGGTGTAAGCGATCCAAAATTAGGTGCTGCGATCACTGAGGCGCTCGCTATTCAATGCAGTCATGTAGGTGCGGTTCCTGAAATTATGCGAGGTTGGTAAATCATATTTTATAACAGTCCATAATCCCTTTCAAATTTGACTCTGACGATTGTGAGACAGTTAAAGATACATAATGGTTCAAGAGTGTCTGTGTCTCTCTGACCGTTTCTGATATTTTTGATGATACACTCACCTGCACGAATAACGGCCATCTTAAAATTTTGATGTATTTTAAAGTTTAATAATATATTTTGTTCTAGTGGGTCGATTTTGATGATTTTTTAGCAATTTGTTGCTAAATTATTTGACTTTTTAGTATCTCTTTCTAAATTAAAAATGAAAGTTTCCGTCTGTCAGTTATACGACGGAAAACAAAATGTTGATATTTTGGTGAAAATTTGAAAAGTCCTGTGGAATATGTTAACAAAGAAATTAAAAGGAATTTAAAAATAATTTTATCATCTAGGTAGGTGTTTTCTCGATAGTTTGTTTTTTGATTCATCTCAATTAGCTTTATTTTTATTGGAGATATTCGCTTTTGAATAAGACAGTAGCGATTTACAGCAATTTTAGCATTGGTTTTGGGTCCTCATCAGTACACTTATAAAAGAGTGATTATTTTTTTTGTAATGTCTCTGTCATTGAAGCGTCATATTATTATTGTTTATTGACGTTTACTCTAGTAGAGATGGTTGTAAGTTCTGGACTATCGGCTATTGCTGCTTTAATTGATCATGGTAGAGATCGACTTTTGGACTTAAAACCATATCTCTAGTGTAACTGCCCAACAGACAATAATAATATGATTTTTCAAAGACAGTTACATTACATAAATTATAACCTCTATTTTATAGGTCTGTTGACTAGGACCAAAAGCAAAGGCATGGTTTTAATGTAAAAAATATTGTTGCGGACCCGTGCCGTGTGAACTCAGCCTTAGGCCTGGCCACTCGCCTATGACTTATACGCCCAGCGATGCCGACGTTCTAGAACGAATAAGAATTGACTAGACAAATCTGGATTGTCTGTTTCTCTCCTATATAAGCAGACGCCGGGGCCTAAGGAGGACAGAGATAAATAATCGATCGACGCGTACAGTTACAATCGCCGCGCTAATTCAAAATAGATTTCTGTTAGATAAATTGTAAATAAGTTATAAATAGTTCTTTAAGTCTTTTAATCGTTATTGTTTTTGTTAATTAGTGTTAAATAAATTGTGACTCTCTATCCACACGGAACCGACGAAAAACGTAACAATATGAAAAAATGTTAGTGTCTTCTTCAAAAACGAATATCTCAAAAAAAAGCTATTAGAATTTTAGAATAAGTGGGAGGGGGGTTAATCTCTGCGACCTTAGAGATCTATTGCGTCCCCCTTTCTTGAGTTATAACTCATCATACAGTCCCAGGACTTCCTACGGAGACCCGTGTCCTTCACAGTCGAGGAGCTACGACCCAGGCCGGGTAGACAAAACGGTAGCTTGTGTCGCCTGTTGGGTTTAGAGGTAGGAGGTAGGCTCCTGACCCTTGGAGGAGGTGGTAACTTGTATGCCACTTACGGAGGATGGTCTCACGCAAGTGTCAGCCACCTCTCCTGTAGTTCTCTTTGGGTTTGGCCCTTTGGAACTTTCACTGTTCCCAGTGTTGCTAGGGGTTTTCCCCACAGCTTCACCGGTGATGTTTTTATCACTATTATTACCAGATCTCATAGTGTTCCCATGAGTCGCTAGGGACAGTCGGTCCCACTTCTACAGAGTCCCGCATGTAGAAGTAAGGGGGTAAATACAATGGGGTGCCCCCGGTGCCCCAAGGTTGAGGCTGTCCGTAGCCCCGCCCGGTATCGTTATATGTCTTGGTGCAATTCCCTGGCCACGACACTACAGTCAGGGACAAGACGATGAGTGAGATGCTTCTTAGACCAAGCGAAGTGCTAGGGGGGATTCCCCCCAGCACCTGACCAGGAGCTTCCCCACCAACAACAAGGTCTTGCATCTCCTAGGGGAAGAAAAAGCTATTAAGATGAATAAAAAACTATCGAGAAAAAATACACCTAGATGATAAAATGATTCTTAAATTCTTTGCTTTTTTGTTAACGTACTCTACAGGGTGTTCAACTTTCACCAACATATCAACATTTTGTTTTCCTTTGTTGCAAAGCTTGTTGCCCTCGTATAATTGACATACGTATTGCAACATTCATTTTTAACTTAGAAAGCTTTTAGAAAGAGATACCAAAAAGTTAAATAATTTAGCTACAAATTGCTTAAAAATCATCAAAATCGGTCCACTAGAACACACTGTATAAAACTTTAAAGTATATGAAAATTTTAAGATCCTAACTAAACTGCCCGTCAAATTAAATACCACAGCGATTTTTTTACTCATTTTCAACGAATTGTAACTTTGAAAAAAAAATGGACCAATTTTGTTGATTTTTTAGCATATTAAAGATCGTTTTTCGTAGATTGATCTGATTTTTCTAAATTTTGTATTAGATTTAGTTTTCTATGATATACTGGGTGTAAAAAAAAAGGAATGTAATTTTTGTGTTGTTGCCATTTTGCTAAAAAACAAAATTTAACTAGAATTATAAGTTCTGGGAATAGCTAAGACTAATATCTCGGGACGTATTTGGAATTTTTACGATATCTCATCGGGAATAAAAGATAATCAATTTTTACTCTAACTTGTATTTTTTCTACCTTTCTCAAGAGATAAAGCTAACAACACTGAAATTAACTTTAAAATTGTAGGATATTCGTTACTAATGTGAAATTAAAAAAAAATGATTTAACTAACGCAGTTTAATACATGATCTCTTAAAAATACGACCAGCGAAAAAGTAAAATTATTTTTTTAATATTCTGAACTTAACAGCCCATAAGGTTAATATAAAAGCTCGACAGGTATTTGATATTGTATGCAACTGTTTTTTTTTAATTTCACATTGTAAAAGTCACGAATATCCTACAATGTTAAAGTTAATTTCAGTTTTGTTAGCATATCTCTTAAGAAAGGTAGAAAAATACAAGTTAGAGTAAAAATTGATTATCTTTTATTCCAGATGAGTTATCGTAAAAATTCTAAATACTTCCCGAGATATTAGTCTTAGCTATACCCAGAACTTATAATTCTAGTTAAATTTTGTTTTTTAGCAAAATGGCAGCAACACAAAAATTACATTCCTTTTTTTCACACCCTGTATATCATAGAAAACTAAATCTCATACAAAATTGAGAAAAATCAGATCAATTTACGATAACCGATCTTTAATATGTTAAAAAAATCAACAAAATTGGTCCATTTTTTCCAAAGTTACAACTCGTTGAAAATGAGTAAAAAAATCGCTGTGGTATTTAATTTGACGGGCAGTTTAGTAGAGATTTTGTATTGTGACACGCCATGTGTTTTTTAAGCATAAAAATTTTGAGTTTAACCTTACTTACTACTAAATTACTTATTTTCAGGAATTCGTCATCACTTCCACAATTTAATAAACGGTTTTACACTAAAGAGTTCTGGAACTGCTCAGCTAGGTTTAGGACATTCTTATTCAAGAGCCAAAATTAAGTTTAATGTACATAGGGCAGATAACATGATTATTCAATCAATAGCTTTGTTGGATCAATTGGACAAGGATATAAATACATTTTCTATGAGGATAAGGTAAAATATGTCATTTAATTATTTAAGCTGTTGCTAAATTATTACAAATGAAAGTAGCTATTTGTATAGCCTTTTCTTAGGGTTTATTTAAGGTTTTAGTCTCTTTAGGGTTAATACCCTAACCCTAAAGAGGCTGTTTTTTATTTTACTATAGAAGTAATGCATATATTATTATGTATGTATGTACAGGGTGGCGCCTCTCATACGCCGCGGAAGCTCCAAGGAGAACGGTAGTTTGTATCGAAATGAAATTTTGGCAGCTTATGTAGGTTAACTGAAAGTATTTTATAAAAATATATAGAATTATACAGGGTGACCCCAAAAAAAGTTACACATCAAAGTGATTTTTCTAATGGAACATTATATATATTAATTGATTTTTGGATTCTAGGAAAAAAATAAAGGTGAGTTTTATTAAAGAAGCATATACCTAAAATCTAAGGATTTTGATATATTTCACATTTTGTGAAAATGAAGAGTAAATTTTAAATTTCGATAACAGCTACCTAAATTTAAGTTTACCTTGTATAGCCTGATATTTAATTACAGTAACCATTGTATGTTAAACAAAATTGAAATTTGACTCGGAAAGTTATACAGGGTGAGACAAAATTAATATGGAACATTAGTCACTTTTAAAAACAAATTACTCCATTATTTTAATATGTCAAAAACACACAGTATATTCTTCCCGATGTTCAATGGGGAATTTATATATCTTCAAAATATTATTAAGGTTGCCTTCCCTTAGACAAAGATTTTCCTAGATATTTTATTTTTTTGATTTAACGTCAGTAGATCTTTATTATTTGAAAAAATCTAGGTGGCTGTGTGATATATCTTATGCTCACAAAATTTCATTTCAATACAAACTGTCGTTCTCCTTGGAGCCTCCTCGGCGTATGAGAGGCGCCACCCTATAATAATGTGACATTACATATAGCTAGATGAAATCAAAAAAAAAAATGCTTCCAGTTGGCTGTTAACTGCATAAATGATTGTCATTTTCAATATAATCTTTTCATATAAAATGACATCTCTTCATTTCATAGCCATCGCTGAGCGCTACAATAATTTCGATCATACGGTCGACAATAGTATGTAATGTTTTACTAGTTGATATTGGTATTAATATATTTGGTTTAACAAATTTGGTATTAACTAAATTTCTATTTATAGTGTTAACCATTTTTGAAAAAAAGTCGATAATACCATTTTGGCCCACCTTATACATACATGTGTAAGGTGGGCCAATTATCCACCTTATATACATACCATACAATTGAAAAAAAAACTGCGTCAAACACTGCTGGGGAATGACAATCGATAATTTTGGCCAGGTCAAGCCATAGCCGTCATTTACTTGGCTCTCACTCTTCTTTATTTTTTTATGGCGCTTACTGCCAGCTTCCTATGGGAGGGTTGTAATTTATTTTTATATTGAGTAAGAATGATTTTTAAATAGTGTAGTTTAAAATTCGAGAAAAAATAATTTGTGGAAATAGATTGCTGTGTCTGGAAACTTTCTATCCTTTTAATCTTTCTATTAGTGTTAATTTTGCTTAAGTTTTATGTCAATTTTTAATTAATGACGTCTAGAGATTAACCTCGCCAAGTGTATCATCGATTGTCATTCCCCAGCTGTCTTTGACAACATATTTTTTTCGATCATACGGTATATACCGTATGTATATACCGTACGGTATTACTGTATGTATATGTTATGGTTAAAGTTCGATGTCCGGTTAATGTCGACATTAACATGTTAATGTTAGGGTTAGGTTATGTTTTTGGTTGTTTTGTTTTGTGTTATTCTCGAGATTAACCGGGTAATGTCGACATTAACCGGACATCGGACCTTAACCGTAACATATACTGTATTACTTTGTTACATAAATTGTACATAAATATGTTGTGTTATTTTATAAATAAGCTTACAAGGAAATGCCAAATTAAAAAAATATATATATTAAAAGTCTTTTGTATCTGTTGATACAGCAGTCATCTTAATTCCCACTTATTTATTTACAGTTTGTATAATACAAGTAACATTTATTGCCTTTAATAATATTGAATTGGTAGAGGGTATTTTGTGAACTGATAATTAACGAAGGCTTTTTAAAACGAAGGTGGTTTTTTTTTATTTTGCAGAGAATGGTATTCTTATCATTTCCCTGAATTGGTAAAAGTAGTTCCAGAAAATTATACATATGCTAAATTAGTGAAACTGATTAAAAATCGGAAGGATTTAACCGAAGAGTCTTTAGATAGTTTGGAAGAAATTACAATGGACTCTGGCAAGGCTCAAGCAATTTTAAGTGCTGCCAGATCAAGTATGGGAATGGACATCAATCCAATTGACTTACTCAATATTGAAATGTTTGCGAGTAGGGTCATATCGTTGACGGAGTATCGAAAACAGGTTAGGTATTGCACAAGTTATTATCTTAGTGTTATTTGTCATTTGGTAATCCATTATGACATGGTTAAAAATTTTGACCACATACATTAGAATCAATATTTGTTTTGTTTTGTAGTTTTCCTTTATTATCTTACTCTACGTTTTATTCAATGTTTTATAAATTTATCAATAATAATGGTTTATTTTTATAGTTATCTGAGTATTTGAAATCTAAAATGTCAGATGTGGCTCCAAATCTGGGTCAACTTATAGGAGAACAAGTAGGAGCTAGGTTAATTGCCCATGCTGGATCATTAACAAATTTGGCGAAATACCCTGCATCGACAGTTCAGATATTAGGCGCCGAAAAAGCTTTATTTAGAGCTTTAAAAACAAGAGGTAATTATTTTTATCAAAAAAATTTTTGAGTGGAGCCTCGAATTTAAGCGAGTTACAATTTTAAATTAGGCTTATTTCATGTCTGTTTACCTGAAGTTTTTCCAACAAGTGTTAAAATATAATAAACCTGTGAATTAAAATGACAGACTAACTGTCACTGTCATGTATACGCGCATTGGACAAGCTATACAGGGTGCGTCTCAAAAGTGGATCACCCTTGTAACTTTTTAATTTTTTTAGATGAAAAACGAGAATTGGTTTGTTAGTATATGACATAAATTAGGATTGAATGACGTATTCAATTGTTTTTGGTCACTTCCTGTTTCACCGGAAATGACTATAACTTTTGATTTTTAAATTGCATCCTCAGTATATTTTTACTTTTGACATTTTCGCTTAAAAAAAATCGTTTTTTAAATTTAAATCTAGAGTGCCATGGTTGTGTAAAAACACTAATTTTTAATCAAGGAGCCTTGGAAAAATAGATTTGATCGTCCAATGTTTATTGCGTCTTGTCCTGGCCACTTAAAAGATGCCCAAATCGTATTTTTAATCAATCTCAATTTTTCCAAATGGAACAAGTGTAGCTCATTAGCATATTTGGAGAAATTTTTTTAAGAATAATTTGGCACCACACATTTGGTATTTCGAGTCAAATTGTCGTTATGAACCGCAAGTTACAATTTCAAATAAATCATATGCGAAAATGTCAAAAATTGACATATTATATGTCATTCTATTGAAAGTGTCATTTTCTATTGAATAAAGTAAAAAAATACAGGGGGTGCCATTTAAAAATCAAAAGTTGTAGTCATTTCCGGTGAAATAGGAAGTGACCAAAAATAATTGAATATGTAAATCAATCTTATTATATTATATATTTATTATACAGGGTGGCGCACCTCATTCGCCTCGGTTGATTATACGAAAACGGAAAGATGTAGAAACAAAATATTTTAAGGATATATGTGGGGAGACAACGTACACAATTTAAATTATTTTGAAATATACAGGGTGCTTCAGAATTAAGATCCATACCAAAGTTATATTTTTTCTTATGAAACACCCGGTATTTTATTTCTTTTTTGGATTCTTGGGCCCCAAAAAAGGCATTTATTATAAGGATTAAATATGTTTGAAATCTTTAGTTTTTGAGATATTTAAAGATTTTTAAATTTACATGCTAAAATAGAATAGACTATTAACACCCTGTACATTACGTTTCATAATTAATTCTTATGCTGAGTTTAAAGGTAGAGAAATAAACTTTACTGAAAAACGGTATTGGTTCCTTAAATTTATACAGGGCTATCAAAAGTTGCTGATCTATTTTAAGGATAATATATTTTATATAAAAACTTTGTTGTTTCAAATGTAACACCCTGTATTTTTTTAAATAAATCAAAGCAGATTCAAATGCTCTTTCTTCAAACTATATTAGGGTTTCCTATATCTATCTAGCTCAGATTTTGAATAAAAAGCGATTTTTAAATAAAATTGTAATCAAGATGGCTGGTAACTATTTTCAAAGTCGACATTAGTTTATGGACATTATTATTTATAATTTATAACAGTTTACTTAAATTTACCTACAGTAGTTTTATAAGTAAGTATTCATTATTTTATCAAGAAAAATAAAGCAGTATCTGCTGGCGGAACAAATAGATATGTTACTAGTGATAATATTTTGTGAGGAAAATTGCTTCTTGACCTCAAGGGCTTATGCTCAAAGATATCCAAATAGGAATCTTCCTGATAAGAGTTTCTTTGAAAAACTTCTTGTCCTATTTCGCCTGGTAGTGTGGTTTATAAAAAAAACCTATTAGGCAGAAACCTGTCGTTGGAAGTGAAGAAAATGAATTTGCCGTAATTGGCTCTTTTATAGAAAATCCATGTATCTACAAGTCAACGTAAAATAATTCAAATACTACTTCTTTGTTTTTCTTGATAGAATAATAAACACATATTTAATAAATATTATTTATTAAACTATTGTAGGTAAATTAAATAAAAATGAACTGGTATAAATTTAAATAAGTCACTAATTTCGATTTTGAAAATAGCTACTAACTGTCACTAGAAATATGCCATGACAACACTAGCCATCTTGATTGCAATTTTATTGAAAAATCGCTTTTTATTCAAAATCTGAGCCAGATAGGTATAGGAAACCCTAATATAGTTTGAAAGAGCATTTCAATCTGCTTCGACTTATTTAAAAAAATACATAGTGTTGCATTTGAAATAACGAAGTTTTTATGAAAAATAAATATTTAAAATAGACTAGCAATTTTTAATACCCCTGTATACATTTAAGGAAGGAATAACATTTTTCTGTAGAGTTTATATCTCTACCTTTAAACTCAGCACAAGAACTAATTCTGAAAAGTAATGTACAGGGCGTTAATAATCTATTCTATTGTAGCATGCAAATTTAAATATCTTTCAATATCTCAAAAACCAAAGATTTTAAACATATTTAACCCTTATAATAAATACCTTTTTTTGGGCCTAAGAATCCAAAAATGAAATAAAATATGGGGTGTTCCACAAGAAAAAATATAACTTTGGTATGGATCTTAGTTCTGAAACACCCTGTACATTTCAAAATAATTTTAAATTGTGCACATTACCTCCCCACATATACCCATAAAATATTTTGTTTCTGCATCTTTCCGTTTTCGTATAATCAATCGAGGCGAATGAGGTGCGCCACCCTGTATATATTTCTGTCATAACTAACATACCAAATCTCGTTGTTAATCTAGAAAAGTAAAAAAGTTATAGGGGTGAGCCACTTTTGAGACGCACCCGGTAGATATCTCCTGGGGGTTTGCTTCGAACTGAGAAAGTCTACTCACTGCTAGTTACAGATTGTCTTGTCTGTCTAACACACTTATACAGTGATGAGTACAGTGACGCAAACTCTCGAAAATATGATGTATCGACCTGGTCATTTAATATCAGTAGCCTGTTTTTTTAATAAGACCAAGATAAAGATATCTGTCATAACTAGGGTTCAGAACTGGTTTCGAAAGTACCGGGAATTCATGGTTCTTTTGAGACATTAAAGAACCGGCATTCCAAATTATTAATTCCCAGTTCTTTCAATACTTTCGGGACTCCGGACTGTCCGAAAGTCCATTGACACTTTCTAGCTGTCGAAATTAAACTATTCTAAATAAGCAGTGATGTTATCTCTTATTGTTTGTACTTCTGAAGTTCTTTTGAGGTTCCTATAATGTTTATTAGCAAATGTTGAAGTTTAAATATGTTATTTTATTATTTTGTAATATATAATGTTCAATGTATTATATACAGGGTTGTCCGAACTGTATTCCGGAAACTTCGGCAGCATATTCTGCAGATAAAAATAAGTAAAAATGTTCGTATAAATGTATGTCCTAAAATGCTTAGTTTCAGAGATACAGGGTGTAGAAGTTTCATTTTTATTTCTATGTTTTCTAAATAATTTCTGAAGTAACGTCAATATTTGGATGAAAATTGGTGTTTGGGAGCTTGTTGACATGAGAAATTTGATTTTGATGTCAATATGACTCCTACTAGTAGAGGGCGCCACCTACACGTGTTTTAAGTGTTTTGAAGCGTAATAAGTTTTTGTCCGTACCTGTATAAAACTACCGAGCGAAAAAATATACATTTCTGTGGCATTTTACGTAAAAAATATGTCTTTGTAAAAATCGCTACGAGCAACCGTTCTTAAGATATTTAGAATGGAAATAGTCAATACATGTCATTATTGACGAAAGTAGATAATTATTTCACTGAATTCACCGACGTTGAGTAGATAATTATTTCACTGAAATAATAAATTTGAGAATTTTTTTTTTCAATTATTTATAAGTTTTTCTGCAAAAAATGATGATAAAACAATTTCTGTTGAACTGTTGGCACAAAAACGTTTCAAATTTATGATTTCAGTCTAATAACTATTTAGTCAACATGTTTAATTTATGTCAATGATGACAGGTATTGATAATTTCGATTCCGAATATTTCGAAAACCATTACTCGTAGCGATTTTTACCAAGAGCCCTTTTTCACGTAAAAAATGTCGTAAATGTATATTTTTTTAGTCAGTAGTTTCTTACAGGTACGGACGAAAAGTTATTACTCTTCAAACCAGTTAAAAAATATGTAGGTGGCGCCCTCTATTAGTAGGCTCATATTGACATAAAAATCAAATTTCTCATGTCAAAAAACTCACGGACACAAATTTTCATCCAAATATTGACAATACTTGAACTGAAATTAGTTGGAAAAATCGAAATAAAAACCTTCTACACCACGTATCTCCGAAACCAGAGAAGAACAAACGTAGAGAAGCGACAAAACGAATTCCGCCTAAAAATTTGGAGTGGGAGGTAAACATGCTAACTGTCATCTCAACGTGTTTTCGGAATACGGCGAGCGTTGCCATTGTTAATGATAAGTCCTGAAATCTTACTATTTTTTTATTTGTGTAAATAATCTTTTTTTGAATTAATTAATCTATATTTTATCCTTACCTTATAATAGTACTTAAAGAAAGAAACTAACTTTCAGGACTAAATATTATTAAAACTTAAAATAGATGCAGATTTTTAGCGTTCAATTATTAAAAACTGCCTTTTGCAAAATTAATAAACTGCCCCCTTGTGAAAAGGGGGTTTAAATTAAAAGCCTTGTGATATAAATGAATAAATGAATTAGAAAAAATATTTACGTAATTCTAATTTTGAGAATATTAGTACTGGGCCATCAATTTCAGAAAAACTGTATAGTCTAATGAACCAAGAACATTTGGAACACCCATGTCCTCAATTTCCAAAAGGCTATGGTCTAAAACTCTTTATCAGGCTGAAAATATTCTATACTATAAAATATACGAATAGGAACCTCAAAATAAAACAAAAAGATAAGAAAACTATTAGAAAATTATTAAATATTTTATCGCATATATAATTTAATAGCGGCGCTAATTTGAGTTGTGTTATCTTTAAATGTAATATGGTTTTTTTATGTAAAATATGATTTTTTAATATATAGAGTGAGTCTTAAATAAGTGCAAATATTTTCAGGGCTGGTAGACCTCGATAAATGAAGCATATTTTCTCTTTACCGTTTTTCAAACAAGTCCAGAATAACCGAGATACTTTAAAAATTAAAAAAAAAAAACAATTTTGGTTACATTTTTAGAACCGCTGAATCTTTTCTGGGTTTTCTTTCTTGTAAATTTAATCTACCACCTCTGTTCTCATATTATAAAGACATTATGTTTTTTAATCATCTGCTGATGCACTGATGTAAAGTGTTTTAGTGTATTGTGGTAAATTAGTGTTTTATTTTGCTGTTTTAATACCCCAGTTCCAACCCTCAACTGTAATCATGTTATTTACTTTTTAGTTTGATAATGCTTGTGATAACAGCTGATAAATATTCGAATTTTTCTTAAAATTGTTTTACTTAAAAACCAACTTTCAAATATTAATTTCGAAACAAAAAATATTATCAGATACGATTTGAAAATGTCTCTCTAAAAGGAATATGTTAGAAAATGGTTAGAACGCGGTAAATCCACAAATCGCCGAAAACCGTTAAATCTTAAAAATAATTACTATTCAATATGATTCCTAAATATTTCTAATATACTTTTTACTGAACACATGTTTTTTCAGTGTACAACTTTTCTTATTTCTTTTGCCTTCATTGAATTTCTCTCAGTGTAGCTATAAACATAAACTACTATAAACATGCTATCTGTCACGTACGCCAATTTGATGGTCACAAAACTTGGTCCCCCCTACTTCAATAGTGCCGACGGTTTTTGTCGCTTCTCTACGTTTGTTCTTCTCTGCCGAAACTAAGCATTTTAGGACATACATTTATACGAACTTTTTTACTTATTTTTATCTGCAGAATATGCTGCCGAAGTTTCCGGAATACAGTTCGGACCATCCTGTATGTTGTTTTGATAGTTTTTTTTTAAATTTAGTTAAGTTGGTTTATGTTGTTTGATGTAAATTTTAAGTTACCTAACTTATGTTTTTCTTCCCTTCTGTTCATTAGTGTTCGTGTTAATTTTTTCGTTACTCATTACTTAATAATTTGTTGTTATTTTCATTTAAAACTCATTTTGTATTTACTTGCGAAAAGCATCCCCTGCTTGCTGATAGACGAACAGCACCATCATTGAACGAAAAATTGCTAGTACCCAAAGTACCGACAAAATTCGGGAATAGAGGCAGGGTACAGAAATTTCCGGGTCCGAAAAATATCTCCGGTTGCGGAAACCCTAGTTATAACTCGTTGATTGACAGTATACAAAGAGACTTAATAGTCTATAGTATCTCCCCGGATGGTCTTTACAAGAGGAAAAACTTTTTTATTATTGACATTTTGAGAAAACTGCATTCTTCATAAAAAATTTTGCTTGTTCTAAAATGGTTAAAGCCGTTTATACTTTTTCCAAATTTCCATACCGTTTTAGAGAAAATTTAAAAAAAAACGACATAAAAATAAGGTTGAATTTTTTCTAAAGTCCTAAAAATCAAAAGGTGTTTCTATGGTAATATCATTTCGATTTCGTTCTTCACAGATTGTTATTAATAGAATTTTAATTAACGTCATTTTGCTGTTTTAAAATGTTAAAGAAGTACAAAATTTATTTAGTTCATTTCTACTGTAAGAGTGATAATAGTTATCGGAAAATGTGATACTTTAACGACTGTAAAAAATATGACGTTAATGGAAATTAATAATAATTATATCAAAGAATAAAATCTAAATGATATTAACATAGAGACCGCCTTTTCATTTTTAGGACTTATACAGTGGCTAAATACCCATAAAGGATTTTTTATATTTTCATGTTTTTTTTTAATTTCCTCTGGTATGGAATTTTGGAAAAGTATAAACGGGATTAACCATTTTAGTGCAACCAAAATTTTTTTATGAAGAATGCGTTTTTTCTCAAAATGTCAATAATAAAAAAGTTTTTTTCCTCTTTTAAAGACAATCCGGGAACATACTGTATATAATTTATTATTGTTAAAATCATTTTTTTATTGTTAGGAAACACTCCCAAGTATGGTTTATTGTTCCATACAACATTTATTGGAAGGGCCGGAACGAAAAATAAAGGTCGGATATCCCGTTATTTAGCAAATAAATGTTCAATAGCGTCCAGAATTGACTGCTTCACTGAAGTTCCTAGTCAAGTATTTGGAGAAAAATTGAGGCAACAGGTAAATATATGAAAAGTGTTTTTTAGGAAATAGTACAGAATAAAGTATCTATATAAAAAATAATGTTTATAAGTCGTTTAATAGAAGAAATTTAATTATTAAAAGTTTCTGTAATAATATAGGGGTATTCTGTTAAAAAATATACAACTTTAGTATTTTTTATTATATTCTGTCTAGTTAGGGTTACCAGACGTCCGGATTAATCAGGACATGCCGGATTTTCACTACATCCGGTTGGGTACGGGCGGATTTTTCATAAGCGTCCGGATTTTAATGTGCCATGATGCAATAATGCAATATTAGTTTTAATAAATTTAGTTACTTCAATGACTAAAGAATACAAGGACATGTAACGCCCATATACAGGTTGCAGTAGAATTTGTGATGTTAGACGCCATATTTTTGGTTGTAACGAGTGACTCATCAGCTGGACATCAGCGACAATTTTAGCGATTTTTAATAGTTTGTGTAGTGAACTTTGTATAAACTTTATTACAGTGGTGATTAGTTGTTCAGCTTTCAAGTGTAAAAGCCGCAGCAATAAGAAAGAGTCAGGAGTTACGTTTCATAGGTAAATAAACAGTTCACTTCACCTTTTTAGCGTTTTCTTTTATCGAATTGGATAATTATTTTTCTGATATTATATGTACTTGATATGTGCTATACGTCGACACTAGTTTTGTACCTTTTGTCAACATTTTAATACGTTTTTTTCGTAATTAATTAGTATGATAAAACCGCATACACCATAGGCGTAGTCAAAACATTTATCAAAAATATAAATATCTCTCCTAGCGGCTATGTTAAGAAAAATATGTGCCACGGTACTATTTGGTGGTATGGTAACAATTCTGTTGCAGGTGTTATTTGTCCTTGTATTCTTTAGTCATTGAGTTACTTAAAAATAGTCGATAAAGTGTAATTTCATTGTTTTACTGTGTGAGTTTTATGTTTTGAAAGTTATAAATATATTTTTTGCTCTTATACATAGTTGTTTGTTATAAATAAAACAGTGTTATAAATAAAATAAAAATGATAATTATCACCAAGCAGTAGGGGTGGAAAACATCATGATTTTTTTAAAAAAATCAGATTTTTTTAATTTAAATCAGATTTTTTTATTTTAATTCAAAACAATATTTAAATCGGATTTCGAAATGACTAGGACTTATTTCCAATTAAAGTCCTAACCTAAATGGCTAAATCTATACCCTGATACCGATAACATTAACAATTCTACGGGGCGTTGTGATTTTTCCACATCGGTCACCAATATATTCCGCAAAAAAAGTCCTTCGCTTTAGATCAAAAGGATTTATTTTCAAACGTCTCAAAAGTAGGTATTAATTTTTGTCATTTTAACGTCTAGGCATAAAAGTAAAGCACTGTTACGCTTAAGCACAAAAGTACAAAAATATACTATTAAACTGATATTAAGTGTCAAATTCAACGAGTGTACAAATTGTTACTCGGTTACTGTTTATATTATTTGCAATGTTTGAAATTAATTAAAAAATTATTTGCAATGTTTAAAAATATAGTATTTTCTATTCGGAGTAAAAATGTACATTTTGTGCCTCACTGTAACGTCGGAATAGCTTTACGATGGTCCTTCAAAGGTACAGCATCGTCAAAAAAGTATAATTTTTACTCCTAATAAAACAATACACTATTGTTCGGAAATAGTCTTAAGTCAAGAATGATATTAGTATGTATTATCTAATGTCAAAGTATAAAGTGCTTACTGCAGATCAAAATGTCGGTAGGAATTTGAAAACATACAACCGTTTCAAAAAATATAAAACATATTTTCTGACAACGAGTATAGATTCTCGGGAATCAAGATATGGTCTCTATATCAGAAGAACCTAGTTCTGGCACTAGACTTTGTGAATGATATGTATTCGAACAGCGAATTTTTGTCACTTATACATAAATTTTAAAATAAATCCCTACGTTTAGCGGATTCACAAGAAATTAGTTTAAAATTCGGTAAAGCAATTAAATTGATGAATAGATATTTTTATATAGTTTTATAACATTTACAATTATTTTTCGATTTATTATCTGTTATATCTGTTACAGAAATATTTTTTATAGTTTTCTAGGACACATTTTTATAACTTTTACAGTTATTTTTTGATTTATAATAAAGTTTCAATAAAATTATTTTTTTCTGATTTAAATCACGTGATTAAAATTTAAAAAATAATTTGATTTAAATCACGATTTAAATCATGATTTAAATCATGCCAACCCTGCCAAGCAGTAGGTAATGTAAAAAATGCTACTTACTAAAAATTATGATGTCCGGATTTTGTCCGGATTTTTGGGAAGGCTTGTCCGGCGTGAAGAAGTTTTCATCTGGTAACCCTATGCTTTACTCATTAGATCAATATAAAAAATATACAGTATATCCCCGGATTGTCTTTACAAGGGGAGATACTGTTTTATTCTTGACATTTTGAGAAAAATGTATTGTTTATAGAGATTTTTGCTTCTTCTAAAATGGTTAATCCCGTTTATACTTTTACAAATTTTCATACCGTTTTAGAGAAAGTAAAAAAAACATGAAAATATGGTTGAATTTTTCCTTGAATGGTGATGGTATTTTTCGCGTTTCTATGGTAATATCATTTTGTTTTTTAAAAGACAAACAAAAGACAAACGTGTACGCACACTGGTGCGATCATGGCCGCGATCACGATAGCCACGCGGCCGCAGCCAAAAGTTGCTGAAGAATACGTATGAGCCGTTTCACATTGGCGCGATCGAGTTTTGGAGACGAATCGGCCTGTCGATACAACTGATAGGAATTTTCCTTTATTTTGTGTGTTTTTTCTTGTTGCAATTTAGAAATGGAGTTAACAGAGCAGCTAATTAAGGCTGTAAAAATACACAAAATTCTATATGATTAAATTTTATCCGATCCAAGTTACAAAAATAAAAATTTGAGACAAAATTGGAATTGCAATTGGATTGGATAGTACATATATGTATACTTTTTTATTGTTTAAGTTTAAATATTGTAGGTAAATATTTAAGAATTTTTTTTTTGGGTATACATAATTCACATTTTTAATTTGTACCTATGTATACCTACAGGATGGCGCACTACATATAGGTACGGTGGTGAACGTGAACGCGTTAGTGTGTGCTAGAATGATCGCTCATGTAATCGCTGCCCTGATCGTGATCGTGATCGCGGCGGTGATCGCATCAGTGTGCGTGTAGCTAATATATTCTTCGATAGAACTTGAATTAACGTAATCTTTATTGCTGTTTTTTAAATGTTAAAGAAGCACAACATTTATTTAATTCAATGCTACGGAAATTAATAATAACCATCTATCAAAGAATGAATTCAAAATGATATTGCCATAGAAACGCCTTTTGATTTTTAGGACTTTAGAAAAAATTAAACCTTATTTTCAGTTTTTTTTTAATTTTCTCTAAAACGGTATGGAAATTTGGAATATTTTAAATGGAATTAACAATTTTAGAACAAGCTAACCTTTTTATGAAGAATGTATTTTTCTCAAAATGTCAATAATAAAAAAGTTTTTTCTCTTGTAAAGACAATCCTTTTTTTTGTAAAGACAATATACTTTATAGAAGTTATATCATAAACTTTAAACATACATTAATTTTAAAGAACATATTGCAAACTGATACTATATCCAGTCGACAGACTGGATGTAATATCAGTTTGCATTTTTTTTTGCAAATTTCATTGGCTCTGTATACTATACTTTCTTGTGCAAGCAGCAGTTATAAATAGCATTTTAATTCTTTTTTGTAGGTTGAAGATCGTCTCAAATTTTATGAAACAGGCGAAGCTCCTAAGAAGAATATTGATGTAATGAAAGAAGCAATTGAGGAAGTTCACCAGCTTAATGCAGCGCAGAAGAAAAAGAAGAAGAAAAAGGTAACATAATATCTATTAGCTACAGGGAAATATTTAATATTATTATTATAGAAAACTGCTTCTGAAGCTTTAAGTAATGGCGATGAAACTAATGCTAATGGGTCTTTAAATGCAGATGAAGATCATGTACCCAAAAAGAAAAAGAAAAAGCGTAATATTGAAGAATCTGTTGATAATGGTGAGTTTAATTTTTTGGTATGATAATAAGTCATTAATTTTCATAAGGACATAATGAAAACTATAAGATATTGATAGATAATTCATTTCTTTTTTTGTATAAAAAAGGGTCATTTCCTAGTTTTTCCTCCAAGTCATGTCCAAATATTCCGTTGACATAGAACTACTACGTATTTTTGGAATCAAAATAAGTTCATTAGACACAATTTACCTCTCTACAAAAGTGCTTCGTTTGTCCGCTAGAGGGCATCAAACTTCAAAAAAAATAAACACATTTTTTCAAATATTTTAAGAATCATTATTCCGATTTGAATGAGATTTTGGGTGATTATGTTTTGGCAAGTGCTTTAACATTTGACATTCACAAAAATCAAGAAAAAGTTCGGGAAGGGCGAAAACTACCCCCACTCCTTCATAAATTTTAATTTAAATATTTTAAATATTGTCCAACTCAACTGACGACCGATTTTATTTTCGTAAAATGTCCTTTCTATTATTTATGACATTTTTTATCTCTTTAAAAAAAACGCGACATCCTATATAGTTTTTGAGAAAAATTTTTTTACAGAATTTATTTTTCCAAAGCAGATCTACAAAATATACAGGGACTTCCGATATTCCGTGGACATAGGACAGCTACGTATTCTTTAAATCAAAATAAGTTAATTGCATATAATTTACCTTTATACAAAAGTGCTGTTTGTTCGTTAGAGGGTATCAATCAAAAACAAACCCGAATGCTATTAATTTAAAAGTTATTATTTTTTTCAAGCTTATAAAAAGCTTATTGTCAAATATAATTTGTAATACTAACGTAAAATTTCATATTTTCGCATACGGAATATTGGGACACCCTGTATATTGAACTTAAATATTTGAAAGTTTGTTGAGTGCCGTCTAAATATTTTAAAATAGATATGTATTTACATTACACATTTTATTATTTTTTAAATGCCCAGATAAGGTGAAAATATCACTTACATGGGAGGATAGTTCAAAACTAAAAAATATTAATTAGAATGGAAACGCAGTTTATACTAAAAATGCAAATTGTTTGTCCTTGTGTATTTTTTTATGTTACTTATTTTTATTAAGCAGAAATAGATACCTCAGTGTCAGAACCACCCAAAAAGAAGAAAAAGAAGAATAAATCAGAATAATGGAATCCAACAGTTTGAGGTTATATTTTAGTGTAAGTGACTGCATATTTCTGTATGCTATTTTATTGTATGTGTAAAAGGGCAAAATGTCTAAATATTAAAATATTGTTTTATTTAACAATGTTGACATGAAATAAATAAAAAACATATATTTTTAGTACTGGTTATCAGATTTTTTGTTAAATATACAAATTATTGCTATTATTAAATAAAAAAAAATGATTAATTGGTTAAACGTCTTGATTTTATATATGTATTGTATATTATTAGTTAATACTTGTGTTGTACAATATATATTTAATGTAACTTTGACATTACTGAATTTAAATAAAATTGTTTTTTTTAATTTACAGGTTAAAGAAAATATTAAGCTTCCTATATAAAAACCTTAGAAAATGTTCTGCAATCAATAAGTTTTTTGATAAAGAGGGCTTTAGCTTGGGCATTAATACAATTTGTTTAATTCCCTACTAGAATTGTTTGTTTCTCATTGTACAATGGCACTCTTGATCATAAATCTTTTTGATTGCGTTGTATTTACTTGTTATAAATGCGTGTAAAGTATTATGATACGGCAGTTTTACTAAGTGGAAAGCCCGTAAAATTATTTTAATTTAACGACTCCTTGCTATAGAGTGTATGGGTGGAGCTTACTTTGTTTACCTCTATTCTAAACCCAGTCACCATGACCGATCGACTTAGATAGTATCTAAGTCGACTGTTACTATTATCAGCAGATTTTAGAAGCTACAAAAAGGGCATTTTTCAGGTGGTCACTCGTTGAGTTCCACACTTAAAGCATTTATGCAAAGTTTCATACTTCCAGACCAAATACTAATGAATTTTCGAACAAATATTTACCCCCATTTTATTGAATTCTTTAAGGCTCCGTTGTGCAAATATTGTGGATCCGTTGTGCAATTATTCTACTCAAGGTGGAACCCTTGTGCAATTATTCTACCTAACCTTTGTGCCAAATGTACTAGGCCATAGTCAATCATTGCTATCATCAGCATTGCGTTTTATACACAGATTACAGATCGATATTTTTCATTGTGTTATCCAATCAAATGGTGGCGGTGCAACATGCAAACTCAACATGGTCGTAGTACAACATGCAAACTGTCTTGAGATCTGAACTATAGAATTTTGACAGCAGAAAAACTACGTCTGCGTGTGATATGTTCTGTCGAATTTTTGATATGGCTGTTGTAATAAAATATGTTGTCTGTTTTCCTAACTTACTTTAATGAACTTTTTTGATAAAAAAAGATAATAGTAATTAATTACAAGGAAAAATTAATGTTGGTTTCACACGTTTCAAAAGACTCAGATAGAATATACAAAGAATTCCGCCCTAACTTGGATTGTGATCGTTTGATGTAGGAGCAAAATGTCTGGAGTTTATGAATGCTTCCACCTGTACCCTATGTATCTAGTCTTACGAAATATAAACTTAAGCAGAAATAAAAAAATAGTGTTTTATTTAGAAAGTCATCAAATGCGTTACTGAAAAGCGCTGACAAGCAAACTTCTTTTAATGGTGTTTTTATACTTTCATTGCGGCAGTCGATATAACAGCTTGTACCTTTTGCTTCCACCATGCAGTTTACGCCACTTTAATACTTTTTCAAGCAACTATATCCCGAAACTAAGTCCTGGTTTCCTCGTGTATCAGGCATGAACGTCATAGTCTATCATAGATTATCGTTTGAATATTGCATATTATATCTTACACTGTTATATTCTATCTTAATTACCTGGCTAGAAATTACGTAAATTACTTTTTTTTCAGTCTCTGGGAGAGACTTTTTTACAAATTTCGTTTTTATTGATGTTTATTTTCTAAATTGGTTTAATGATACTGTTGTTTTAGTATTTCTGTTTTTTTTATTTACTAATTAAAATTACTATTAAATTTATATACTAATCTACACTATGTAAATAAGTGTGCAACAATCCTGGAGGAGATTCCTTTTTTTAGTATGTGGGTTTCTTATACCCCTTGAATTCTTCTTATAATATGTTAATTCTTAATTCTAAATCTAGTCGTATGACGCAAGCCTGACACGGCGGCGCGTTCTGCGTTCTTAGTTGCTTGGGTTACATTATATCTGTCGAAAAAAAAGTATTTATAGCATAGTCAGATTATTTTGTAATAAAATTATGTGTATTATGGGTGGAGCTTACTTTGTTTACCTCGATTCTAAACCCAGTTACCATGACCTATCGACTTAGATAGTATCCAAATCGACTGTTACTATTATCAGCAGATTTTAGAAGCTACAAAAGGGCGTTTTTCTGGTGGTCACTCGTTGAGTTCTACACTTAAAACATTTATATGCAAAGTTTCATACTTCCAGACCAAATACTAAAGAAGAAGAAGAAGGATTTTATATAAGCCGCATAAGCTGCTGGGCCATTTAGCGGCATTGATCAAATTAAAGATACATTAAACTATAAAATACTAAAGACTTTTCGAACAAATATTTACCCCCATTTTATTGAATTCTTTAAGGATCCGTTGTGCAATTATTCTACTCAAGGTGGATCCGTTGTGCAATTATTTTACCTAACCTTTGTGCCAATGTACTTCTAGGCCATAGTCAATCAGCATTGCGTTTTATACACATATAGATTACAGATCGATATTTTTCAATTGTGTTATCCAATCAAATGGTATGCACCATGCAAACTCAGCATGGTCGTAGAACAACATGCAAACTCTATTGAGATCTGAATTATAGAATTTTGATAGCAGAAAAACTATGCGTGTGATATGTTCTGGCTTATTTTTGATATGGCTGTTGTAATAAAATATGTTGTCTGTTTTCCTAACTTACTTTAATGAACTTTTTTGATAAGAAAAGATAATAGTAATTAATTACAAGGAAAAATTAATGTTGGTTTCACATGTTTCAAAAGAGTCAGATAGAATATACGGAGAATTCCGCTCTAACTTAGATTGCATCTTTGATGTAGGAGCAAAATGTCTGGAGTTCATGAATATTTCTACCTGTACCCTATGTATCTAGTCTTAGGAAATATAAACTTTAGTAGAAATAAAAAAAATAGTGTTTTATTTAGAAATACATCAAATGAGTTACTGAAAAGCGCTGAGAAGCAAACTTCTTTTAATGGTGTTTTTATACTTTCATTGCGGCGGCAGTTGATATAACAGCTTGTACCTTTTGCTTTCACCATGCAGCTTACGTCACTTTAATACTTTTTCAAGCAACTATATCCCGAAACTAAGTCCTGGTTTCCTCGTGTATCAGACATGAACATCATAGTTTAGCGTTTGAATATTGCATATTATATCTTACTCTGTTATATTCTATCTTAATTATCTGGCTAGAAATGCCGTAAATTACTTTCTTCTCAGTCTCTCGGAGAGACTTCTTTACAAATTTCATTCTTATTGATGCTTATTTTCTAAATGGGTTTAATGATATTGTTGTTTTCAGTATTTCTTTTTTTTTGCATCTACAATTTATATACTAATCTACACTATGTAAATAAGTGTGCAACAATTCTGGAGGAGATTCCTTTTTTAGTATCTGTGTTTTTTAGACCTCTCTTAAATATTTTTCTTATATATTAATTGTTAATTCTAAATTTTGTCGTATGACGCAAGCCTGACACGGTGGCGCATTCTGCGTTCTTGTGTGTAAGTTATTCTGTGTGTAAGTGTTCGCAATGAAGTTCCCACTCTTTGTGAACACAAGCACAAATTATACCTAATTATTTATTAGGATTCTTCATGAACAGAAGAGTCACGCTGTTTGGTGCCCCACACAGTTGCCCCAAGCCCACCATATAATTGCATTGCTTGTATTGCGAAAGTAACCTGATCTCCCAGAGTCATACTCAATAGGTACATTTCAATCTACTTTTTTCACGATGATTTTTGAACCATCTACCAAGGTTTGATACCATCTTTATGTTATTATTTGATGGTACGTAAAGTATAACGTCAAAATACCATAATGTCTTTTATAAGACTTGGATGCATTTCCAAAGATCGCTACTTAGTGCTCAATTACACCACTCAAGGTACTTTTGTGTCAAATTTCGTACCTCTAGGGCAAGTGGTCTTGGTCTGTGCGTTGATATCTAAGTCAATCATAGTCAATCAGCATTGCGTTTTATATACACATAGATTACAGATCGACATTTTTCGATTGTGTTATCCAGTCAAATGGGGATGTGTGATAGAAAAACAACATACGAACTCTCTTGGAGTTCTGTTCCATAGAATTTTGACAGCAGAAAAACTACATCTGCGTTCTGGTTTATTGTTGATATGGTTGCTGTAATGTATGGTCTCCGTTGTCCTAACTTACCTTTATGAACTTCCTTGAAAAGGGAAGATGATAGTAATAAGTTACAAGGAAAAATTAATGTTGATTTCACATGTTTCAAAAGAGTCAGATTGAATACACGAAGAATTCCGCTCTAACTTAGATTGCATCTTTGATGTAGGAGCAAAATGTCTGGAGTTCATGAATATTTCTACCTGTACCCTATGTATCTAGTCTTAGGAAATATAAACTTTAGTAGAAATAAAAAAAATAGTGTTTTATTTAGAAATACATCAAATGAGTTACTGAAAAGCGCTGAGAAGCAACTTCTTTTAATGGTGTTTTTATACTTTCATTGCGGCGACAGTTGATATAACAGCTTGTAACTTTCGCTTCCCATAGCTTACATCACCTAAATACTTCTTCAAGCAACAATATCCCGAAACCAACTCCTGATTTCCTCGTATGTCATAGGTCATTCTATCATTTGAGTATTGCATATTATATCTTACTCTGTTATATTCTATCTTAATTATCTGGCTAGAAATAACGTAAATTACTTCCTTCTCAGTCTCTGGGAGAGACTTCTTTACAAATTTTATTTTTATTGATGTTTATTTTCTATATTGGTTTAATGATACTGCTGTTTTCAGTATTTCTTTTTTTTTGCATCTACAATCTATATACTAATCTACACTATGTAAATAAGTGTGCAACAATTCTGGAGGAGATTCCTTTTTTAGTATCTGGGTTCTTTAGACCTCTCTTATAAATATTTTTCTTATATGTTAATTGTTAATTCTAAATTTTGTCGTATGACGCAAGCCTGACACGGCGGCGCATTCTGCGTTCTTGTGTGTAAGTGTTCTCAATGAAGTTCCCACTCTTTGTGAACACAAGCACAAATTATACCTAATTATTTATTAGGATTCTTCATGAACAGAAGAGTCACGCCGTTTGGTGCCCCACACAGTTGCCCCAAGCCCACCATATCATTTTTTTTGCATTGCTTGTATTGCGAAAGTAACCTAATCTCCCAG